TGATTGTGAATTGCAAATTGAAATTGAAAATAACAAATAAACGATGTAAATTTATGAATTAAAACCATTGGGCATCAAAGAATTTGCAGGAAAATCACCAGGGAAAACATTAATAATCGTTCTAGAACTCAAATCACGAAATCAAATTGATCTATTGTCGTAGCATCAATTAATATGTCTGACAACCTAAGATCCTAAAATATCGTTTGAATTTAAGAGGTTAAAAACGCATAAAAGATCAAGTTTGATATGTTAACAAAACACCCTAACATAAGCTTTCGTTGGTTATGGATGCTTTGCTCAAAAAGATTTTTTCAGACTTTTAAACAAACACTTTTGGTGCATTAAACAAACTAAGATCAGAAACTAAATAACTAATCAAGTTTCAACAATAGCAACAATCTAGACAACCTCAATATTTTGTTTGTTATATAAACTTTGTTACTCCAAATTGCTTAACCAAACTTTTTGTTTGATATAAGGTTGTAGTTCAATTTTAAACCATTTTAGACAACCTCAATATTTTGGATGGTTTCTATAATCAAATCATAACATACTAAAAATACAAATATATGCATTTCGAAAGATAATATTCTTCAATGTTGACAACTCATTCTGAGTCTAGGGAGATTTTTTTTTTATCAACAACAACAGGGGGATAAACTACGTACAAATTACATTTTGTAAAGTCAATACGTTAAGTTCATATTACAAAGTTTATGGCAGCATTATTTATTTGGATTTTAGGGAAAATTGGGAAATGCAAACGAAAGCAGAAACCACTGCAAAACACAAAAAAAATCAAATTAAAACACATGTACACACACAATGTGCACAATAAAAACTTCAACCATCTTTATTAAGGAGTCTAGCTGGATTGGGTATGCCAATCATAGGATGTTGCATGATGACATCGAACCGTGATATCTAGCTGACCTCAAGGAATTTCTTAGCACGCTCTCCACCTGAAGGGAACAAGAACACAGTATTAAGGTCTTAATTAGGTGACCCATCTGTATTTTTTACAATGTTTTTTTTCTTTTTTTGGTTTTAAGAATTTTTTTGGTTGACAATGTGACTTGTTTGTTACATTTTAAAGGCTTGTTTTCACCTAAATAGAGTTTAGAAAAGTGACAAATTTACCAGCTGTGCCTTTTGGCTCATGTTACGGTCATAAGACAACTTTAACGGCCTCTTCATGTTGTCTATCTCTGCATTTGTAGTGTTCAGAGCTTCAGCTGCCTTTTGTTGTTCCATAAGCATGTCATTCTCTGCCTAAGAGATCACAGAAATAAATATTTTTAAACAAATATTTTGTAGAGAGATGTAGTTGGGAGCCTTCTCAACAACAGTCTCACCTTTATCATACGGTGCAAACTCATCTATATACGAAATCCCATTATTGGCTCTTTCAATCGCTGCAATATTTTCGAGAAGTTGATGTATTTGCATCTCTTTTTTGCTTTCATCTGTAGTCTTGTTATCAAACAAAACTCTTCTATTGCTACACAGTCTTAAGACTTGCTGAAATTGCACAAACCAATTCAAAGTACATAAATTGAAATTAATAGGAAGAAACCTCAATTGCAAATTAAATAATCCAAAGTTTCAACACATTCAAATCACCGACCGTCATTAATTGAGGCCATGTGGACAAATACGTATCCAATATTT